GCCTCTGGGACAGCGTCAGCCAACGAGACCAGCTAGCGACCCGGACGTCGCGGCAGAAGTGTCGTCGTTCAATGTGGATCGGTGATGATCTGCCGAGACGCCGCAGTCAGAGTCTTGCTTTCTGCTTCCTTTGGCTGTGTGGACCGTGCAATGTTGCCATCAGGCGCCTCCTCGGGTTCATCAGCAGGAGCCAATGAGAGCAGCTGACGAGCTTGCTCCCCAGGTGCAGCTTGTGCTGAGCAGGTCCTAGTTTCGTGAGATTTTGTGGCGTTGAGGGTTCTGCGCGAGTGACTGGCACGTGCTGAGGGTGACTGTAGGGTTACCGTGAAGTTGAAGAAAGGTTTACCATAAGGGTTGCTATACGAGTTACTTTACGTGTTAGTATAGGGGTTGCTATAAGGGTAAGGGGTACTGTATTGTCAGTGTATTTCCTAGCCTCGTGTAAGGAAGAGTCTTCCATGACAGTGTAATCCTCGAACATCCTCGAAGCTGCATTGAAATACAGAACACAGAGCAATGTGCAGCAATGTGCGGAAGATCTCCAGACTGAGGCAGCAGGTCAAAGCGAGGCCATAGTCGGAAAGGAAGCTGGAGGCAAAAACAAGAGCAGTTTTCTGGGCGCATCTCCTTTGTGCACCCAACCGCAGACGCAGCTGTGCGCAGAGAGCTTTGGCTCAACAACAGCAGGCAGAGGTTACCAAAACGCCATGGCATTGCACAGAATTCAGAGAAAAGCACCTGGTATGTGCAGAGGACAAAGCCGACGCCTATCTGAGCCGCTCAGCCCGCCATTTCCACGCATCCCCAAGGCCCGACAGCTCAACCCCACATAATCCCGCGCCTTGGGGTGCCGGATGTCGTCATGGCCCCGGGCCCACCGAAGGCGCTGAAGTCGCTCCATGCGGTGGCTCGGCCCGAGTCAGACGGAGTTAGGGGCACCAGACTCCAACCGGCATAGAATTGATGTGGTAGAGGACTTTCTGCAGTGCCGAATCCCATTATCGGCCTTTGTGTCCCAGGCCATCGACCTGGTCTGGAAGGCGCCCGGCCAGACGAAGCCGCAGAGCTGTAGACATGTGCCGCGACTACCCCCCACCACAAATCCGCCTACCACCAATGTACCTCAGCGGGATGATCAGCGCTCATAGCAGCAACATGGGCAAGTGTAGGCCCCCGCGGTCAGGATCCGGCTCGCAAGGATTATGCGCTGAAGGCAGTCGCAGTGCCGGGTGCTCGAGCCATTTCGCACCAGCGGGTTCGCTTTGGGACAGTCCAGGGCTTTGCGTTTCGCTTGCGCTTGGGGTTACGGGGGCCTTTTGTGGACAAAGTATGACAAAGTGTTTGAAAAGGCTGTTGGGGAATGCTTGCTTCCATATCAATCTGATGCATGGAGCCGCGGCGTGACCTGCCGCCAACGTATGTATCTATGTCTATCTCTCGATCCATCCTAGATCCATCCATCCGCAAGGGACTGTGCATATCTTTCTCCATATCTATCACCATCTTTTTGTCTGTGTATATCTGTTTCTTAGGTATCTACACATGCCTACATACGTATGCTCCTTTGTTCTAATATGTCGGTACATCTTTTGGTTTATGTTTATGCCACCTCTGTTCCTGCCTTTCGAGCCGAGGCATGGGCGTGCGTTGCAGTTCCTGTCTACGGAGCTGAGGGCAGACAAGGAGGCCCCTGGGCACACGAGGTTTTATATGCTATATAATTACATTGTGGAGTTTATCTTTTTTTATACTCCACGGGGCCCAACGGAGCATCGGGTGCTTGGTGGCCTTCTTGGGTTCGTGGGACCCCAGGGGCACACTCTCTGCTTCTGTGCTCCTCCCGCACTCTGGTGCATAGCAGGGTAATTGTTATCGCAGTCGGCCCACTCTTTGTTCTCCTCTCTTCCCTCTCGGCCGTGCTCTGGTGTTTCGTCCTCTGGGCCGACTCCTCCCGCCTTCTCCAGCTTCGCTTTCTCATCTGTTGGAGCCTTACCCACTCTCTTCGCGATGGGCGATTCGGCTCACTGGTCGAGCCGGTTCGCCTTTCCATTCACCTCTTCAGTTTTCCGCTTGACCCTTGACTTCCCACTTCCGCTCTGCTCCTTGCCTGTTGGACGAGGGTGGCTCGTCCCATTGAGCCGGCCCACTCTTTCTTCATGTCTATCTGTCGGCTGTTTGTGTTTGCATTGCGCATCCGCTGGCGGTGTGGTTTGGGCTGTTTACATCCTACTTGCCTTTTTCCCTTCCTGGCTGTGTGGCGGCGGCTTGCTCTACGACATGTTCTGAGCTTTCGCTCCTGTCCCGGACTGCGTGTCTACCAGCCTGTGCGTTCCTGCTTCGTCCTCGGAGTGAGCTTGCGCAGTCTCTCCTTCTTCGGGTGGCGCCCTACAGTAGTGCGCTATTGGCCTGTCCCCGTGTGTTTCTGCTGTGTTCTGTGTACGGCGCCGTTGGCCGTTTCTCTCATCTCTCGCTCCTCATTCGGGCCGCGCCTCTGTGCGCTATTGGCCAGTCGTGCTGCGTATTGCTTTGCCCTCGGCGTGGCCCACCACCACCACCACCACCACCACCACCACCACCACCACCACCACCGCCACCGCCACCACCACATATACAATATAATATAAACTGTTTTATTATAGTATAATGTAATATAATATGATATAATATAATATAATATAATATAATATAATATAAATATGTATATATATATATGTATATATATACACACGCATATACATATATATATGTACATATGTATGTATATATATATATATAATGTTATATTGGATGTGTTAAACTGGCTTGGACCAGGAGATCGGCTCGGGTGTATGCTTTACCAGCCTCGTGCGGCACGTCCGTCTGAGCTCCAGCTGCAGGTCGTTCTGAAGGCGCTGAAAAGCGATGGCTGGGCTATTCAGTGGGCTTCCGAGGACCCTCGGACGAAGCTTTTCGAAATCGCATGAAGCGGGCCGATCCTGTGCAGAGGAGCTCCGAAGAGACAAGGATGTCATTTTCAAGGCAGGAGACTATGCCTTTAGTTGCGTGCAAAAGCATCCAGGTCTGGGAAGTTAGATGTGGTCATGTCGCTTGACTAGAGCTGCAGAGCGGTGTTCCTTGCAAACGCGATCCTCCGATTGCAATTTGTTTGTGTCCGACTTGCACTTGCAAAAACCAGGCTAGCTGTAGCGGCCATTACAAGGTCCCTGAGTCCAACATGCAAGAAGCACCTGTGACCCCACAGAAAGCTATTAGAAGAAAGCCCAACCCGAAGAAGTGGCGCATCGCGGGACTCCGGTCGCCGGGTACGGTTCTGGCAGGCCCTGAAGAAGGAGGTGCGCTCCTTGCAGTTTGTGGCGGAGGAGACTTATTAGTATCATTATTTAATCATGATTCTTAGTCTTCTTGTTCTTTTCTTATCAGTATTCTGATCACTATTGTTGTTATTGTTATTGTTTACTGTTATGATTGTTATTGTGATAAGTATTAGCATTAGTACTAGTATCCGTACCAGTCTTAGAATTAGTATTAGTGTTGTGCTTGCTTTGTATTATTTTTTTATCATTAGTCCGATAAATACTATCATTACTTTTGCTATTTTAATCGGCATTATTCTTGTTATTATTGTCGCAAGTACCATTGTTACTGCAACATAGTAGCCATTCTTATTTTATTCTTATTGTTCCTCTATGCTATCATTGAATTTGCTTTTGGACTTTCTTCTAGCGGGTAGTTCTCCAAACTAGGGTCCCTTTGAGGGTCGTTTTCATAAGGGTGCCGTAGTATCTTGGGGACCTACAAAGCCCTGAACCCCTAAACCCTAAACCCTACACCCTAAACCCCAAACCCTGAACCCTAAACCCTAAACCCTAGACCCTGAACCCTAAACCCTAAACCCTAGACCTACAAAGGGTACCCTAATGGGGAGAACTCTCCAAATGGCCCAAATCTGTTCATGGCAGGAGCTGCTGACAGACCGAGACTTCTGCCTCGAGGCCATCTCTAAAAACGGGCTCTCGGCTCAGCTCTGGGGCTGAGAGGCTTTTAAACTCCGGCTCCTAGAAGATCATAGAGTATAAAAATCGCAGGTTATGGTTTATTTAGAGTACGTATAAATATGGCATGTCATGGTTTACTATGTGGTTCTATAGTTACAATAAAGGATTTTATAAGGCTTGCTCACCATACTATAAGGGTTTAGGGTCGTGGTATCCGGAGAGTTGAAGAGTTGGGCCCAGGTTGGCCTACGAGTTCGCGGATCCGGAGGTCAAAGCAGACCGTGAGGTGCATTATCCTGCAAGGATCACGACGGTTAGGAAGGGCCGTTCTATATGGCTTGGCAGGTCGCTCGAGCTGCTGTGTGTCAGGACCGCCGCATATAAGGTCCAATCATTGCATCGGACCGACGAGTTCCCTTCCTTCTTGAGCTGCGACAACACTTCCGGGTCCAGCATGATGCCATGTTGGCAGGATGGTCTTGCGCTGGAGTTTGTTCCGGAGCAGTTCCAATCGGACCCTGAACTAGCTTCCCGGCCGCAAAAAGCATCGTTCGCAGACCCAGGCCCAGTGACCCAAAAAGGGGCTTTGTTCTTTGTTGAGGTTCTGAAGGCGGTGCAGAACTGCGGCCTGGCTCTTCGCTTCGCCTCGCCGGAGCTTCGCGGCAACAAGGGCCTCGCCGAAGACCAAAGAACTCGGGGGCTGCGCGTGGACTCTGCAGAGCCTCCAGTTCCGGCTCGGATTCCGAGGTCCTTACTGCCGCGAAGCAGGATAGCTCGGCCTTCAAGTTTGCCTCACAGGCACGCAAACTGGAAGGCGAAGCGGCTGAATCGCTTTCTCTCGGCTGTCTTCTGTCCGCAGGAACTCCAGCAGAACCGTGACGTCTGGCTGCAGGCCGGAGCCTGTGACAACTTGGAAAAAGCTGGTAACTCTTTATGCCAAGCTGCGCATTGCATGACTGGAAGCGGTCAGCACGGTACGGCAACTCCTTGCTTTGTGTTGAGATTCCAACTTGCGGGGCACAAGGCACACTGTGCACTGCGCTCCATGATGTGCAAATATGTGATTCGAGTCAGTGACACGCGCATGCAGCAATTACACGTGCCGCGACCCTCGTCCTTCTGTGCCGGTGGAGGGGAGACCCTGGAGTAGGCGATGTTGACGGCAGGTCTGCCCGAGCCGCTTGGGTCATTGGCAGAACCGCAATGAGGTTTTGCAGGAGGTGGAGAAGGAGGCCGGTGGCTTTGCTGTGATGTTTGGTCAAGTCAGAGTGACGTTCTGCCATTTTTCTCTTGCTCAGGGCTTGCTGCTCCAGCTGGCCAACCAGCGCTTGGTCAGCCAGCCAGAGGTGCTTTGCTGTTGGATTTTACACACATGAGATGCCTGGCCTTCTCTCGCAGGTGATGTTCAAGGCGGCTGCCGGATCCTCGGAGAGGAGGGCTTTAATGGTCCTGGATCATAGAGTCATAGAGTGTTGGCTCGACAGACACACACCAACCAGGTGTAGCTAGGATTGTGATGGGACGGAACCATGAAACCGTCAGAAAGCTGACAACCAGGTAGGGCCTCGGCGTACAGAGCCAGTGTAAGAGGAGAGGAAGGAGAAAAGCAACAACACTGAACCCCACGACTCTAAGACCTAACATCCTGAACCCCACAATTACCTCCGTCGTGATGCCGGCATTCTCCACATTTGCAGATGTTTCATGTTTGCGACTGTCCAAACCAGCCAGTGTATTCAGCTCTTGCTTTCGTTCCTGTTCTTGACGTTCCTGAGAAGGTTTTCTGAATTGTGCGCTTCGCTTTGCAGCTCAGGTCAAGGATCACCATACGCTGCAACACGCCAGCCCTGAGATCTGCGCAGATGTGGATTTTGTGCTGCGGTTGATCAAAGAGGCCGAACTTGTGGCCGTGCAACCTCTGCGAAGTGTGTCGGCCGAAGCCAGGATGTGCGTGCCCTGACGTACGCGTCAGATGAGATTCGCGCCGACCGTGAGGCATCGGATGCGTGTGGCAGTCCGCCTGTCGCCTGTCGGGCGACTTGCATGCAGAGTAAGTCTTGCCGATTTCTGTGACAGGATGCATTTGCCAGGTCGCACTCAAGGCAACAGCTATTGACGGCAGCTCGCTGCAATTCTTCACGCAGGACCACACAGACCGCAAATGCCCGGAGTGTGTCGCTCTCCGAGACTACTCACATCGTCTCCTGCTGTTTTATAGGACCCACTCAAACTCAGCAGATCCTTCAGAAGCTTTTCCAACCTTTCAAGCACTATACAATAGACTATAATCGTGTTCATATTACAGACACCATATTATCGACTACATGTAGAGACTGATCGAAGCTGCTTTGCCCGGTGCGAGGAGCTCTGTGAGGACAGGGAAGTGGCCCGAAGCTTAAAAAGGCCTGCAGAAGGCGGTCGAATCGATGCGCTGCGCCTTTTAACGCATGATCTTGTTGCACACTATCATCAGAGGGAGGTGATCTTATTGCGGTCGTCTTGGCAGTACTTGGCATCTTCTATGCCATGGGGCGCCGAGTTCGACCTTTGCTTTCCAAGCTTTGCAGCTCCGAGGTCCTCACAGCCGTGCGGCACACGGGTACTGCCCTGGCCTTCGCGGCCCCGGAGCTGCGGGCCGACCGAGAGGTTGGGCTCTTCTAAAGGAGTATCAGTAGAAGTACTCTTTGCTAAAGAGGCATAGGCTAGATCTCATATCATATGATATAGTAGCTTTATATCCCTGTCGCTGCTTAAGGCTGCTGTCAATGGAAGGGAGGTCTGAAGTCGACCCTTCGCTGCCAAAGCTCTTTGAGACCAGCCCCGCTTCAGGTTGTCCTTGCCGCAATGGCCCAGAGCCGCTCTGCGCTGCTCTTTGCGGCGGAGGAGCTACGGCGGGACAAGGCCTCTTAAGTCCAGTCCCCTGGTACAGGGCATGGCGAGGAATGGCTAGCTCCCAAGATCAGAAGTGGCAACAGAGGCTTTCACAAAGAAGCTGAGGGTTTGCAAGATCGAAGGTTTAGCCCTTCGTCCCAGTCCAGTGCTTGGGCAGAGAGGCGATGTGGCTCTACAACGGTGAGGAGCCGCCGGTCTTCGACCCGCCGCCCGAGGAGGAGCAAGAGGTGCCTTCAGAGCAAAGCAAGTGGCCACTGACAGGTACTAGACTCTACTCTTCCCTACCATACCATAACCCTAAAACCTAAAACCTAAACCCTAAACCCTAAACCCCTAAACCCAAAACCCAAAACCCTTACCATACCATGCCATACGGCGCGTCACTCTCTACGATGCTCCCAGCACTGCGCTCCAGGCCGCCGAGGCCCAGGCCGAGGCCCAGGCGGAGGCCGAGGCGGGCGATGCCCCGGAGCGCCGGGCCGAAGAGGCGGAAGCTTCGGCCTCTACTTTTAGGGTTTAGGGTTTAGGGTTTAGGGTTTAGGGTTTAGGGTTTAGGGTTTAGGATGAGCTTAGCCTTAATATATACTGTATTCTTTTGTTGCATAGAGCTTAAGTTGGTATAGTATAGTAACAAATGACAATGTGTTATTATAATTAGTATGTTCTATTATATCATTGCATCTTATAGTATCTGAAAGTTGTAGCATATATAAAGATATATATATATATATGTTAGTGTGCCATAATATATCATAGTATAGGGTGGTATGTTATAGTTGTTGAGAGTGGCTGTAGTATATGACAAACTTCCTGGCCTCTGCGAGAGTTCCAGAATGGTGTTCCGGCGATAGCAGAGCTCTGGCACCACGCAAAGTATTGTAAGTGCTGCGTTGGTAGGCAGAGGAACGGCACAGATATCTAGGACTATCGGACCTGAGGGGTCATGTACAAACACTGCGCCGGTCTTCACAGTCGCTGCATGTCGCTGCGAAGCTGAAGCTCAGTTTGGCAAGTCAGTTCTTTGTTGCTCCGTGCCGTGCAGTGCATAGAAGACGGCCCAGCATGTCTCACCAAAACTGGCCATGAAACTTGTGGCCGGTGCAAAAAAGTCAATGAGCAGTTGTGAGCTCTTGCGTGGTTGCCAGACTGTTGCGTGATGTTTATGCAGGCACAAGCCACGTGACTATTTAGATCCTTGCTGTGGATTGTGTGGTGTTGCAGCTACGGACGTCTCGAGATTTGCCCAAAGCACGGCACAGCAATGGTGCTCTGCCGTGTTTTTCACCTGCGTTCAGGGTCTCCTGCAGATGGATAGCTTCACGACCAGACTAGGGTGAAGTGCCCCGGGCACCCTCCCAATAAAGGTCTCCCACGCAAGGTGTTTTCTGTCGTTGCATGTCGCGTTGCAGTTCTGACCCCGGCTGTTGCCATGTCAGGCGTATGGGCTCCGGAAGATCACTGGAACCACCTACTGGCCTTATGGCACAGGGCGGGACTGGTGCGCTACTGAGATCTTTGGGCCGTTTTGTGGAGTGTCAGGGCTGGGGTCGTGCTACCTGAGAAGTACAAGGGAGGGCACATCAAGCATGATGCGATTTTGTCGACATCGACGTTTATCGTGCAGCGTCTGACAGGCTCTTGCTAAATCTGCGGTGGTTGCATCCTGCACATGGGCCTGCAATGAATGAAGAATCGGAATTTTGCGGCTTTCCCGTTGCTGGCTTCAGGTTCTTCGTTGGGGACCTGGATTACATGCATGGTCGACGTACACCGAAGGCCGAGCGGCTGCAAGATGCCCCCCGAGCCGTTTCGCCAGTGTCCCGCTCGCAGGTAGAAGTTCGGGAGCGGTTTGAGAAGCTTACGCCGCTCTCCCGGGCCTCGAAGTTCTGAGCGTGTCAGGGCGGTGCTGAGAGTTGTGGGAGTTGTAGCTTCAGCTCGGTGGTTTTGGCACAGGAAGTCAGTGTGTCCGGCTCATGCAGCATGAAGCAGCTGCACGCTGTGCAGTTTTTGATTGAGTAGTGCTGGAATCAACTCCTAGTCCTAGATTGAGATGTTTGCTTTTTACGCCCTGCATGTACTCTGCCGACCTCGTAGAACTTCCACTGCAGCTGTGAAGCCTTCGATTCAAGCGAGGCCTCCATTGAGGAAAAAGCGAGGCCACCCGCAGGATATGGTGGGCACCTCGGTGCCTTCAGAAGCTTAAAGGGCCCTGAGAGTGGCTTGAGCCTCCGAGGTTTTCAGCCAAGCGTCTATCCGCAGCATGACGAGCACCGTGGGTGTGTCCTCGGTTCCAGGCCTGCACCTCTGACTATCATTGGTGCGCACGTGTCTGCCCTTCTCGAGGGTGTTCTCAGAAGATGTACAGCATTTGGTTGCAGTCACGTTGTTCAGGTTCAAGCGTCGTTGAAGATTTGAGGGAAGCCCGGTGTTCCAAAAGCCTTGCACTTTTTCATGTCTGCACGTCACGACCACTTGCTTTTGATGGAAACGCCCGTGAGGACATTTGGACTCAAAAATGTTCTGTCAGACATGACACTGAGCGAACGGGATGCACTCTTTTTTCAAGTGCGAGATGGGGAGTTTGACGAGGCAAAGACAGCGCTCGTCAACTTAGATATAGCGTGGCGATACAGCCTTTTGAATCAGAGCTTCTTGTTTGTCATCGCTGCTGGGACTCGTCGTGGCTCAGAGCCCCTGGCGAGACAATGCATTCGCATGGATGCTGATCTCACCTGTGTCGACAACAACACGCAGACCCCTCTCTTCTATGCAGCAGCACGAAGCAACATCACAATGGTGAGATTCCTTCTGAACCATGGCCTTGAAGATTTTGAAGTTAACTTCACGGATCAATGGAACGAGACCGAACATTTCTATGCAATTAGAAGCAAACATTCTGAAATTGTGAGATTGCTCATAGAGCACGGGGTCAACCTTGATGCGAAGTCCGATTTCGGTGTGACCCCACGCAGGCTTTTGCCCACCGCCCCGAAGAGCGCCGGATTGTGTCTGCCCGGGTGCCGCAACCAGAAGTCGCTTCGCACGCTGGGAGATTGAAGAAGAAGAGGATGATGAGCCATTCATCGATGTGGACAAGGCGACAATATTGGCTCAAAATGATGCCTATTTCGTTTGCCAGCGTGCTAGTGGATGTAACAAGCGCCTTCGGCGGTCCGAGACAGAGTTCGCGTCGGACCATGCGCACCTCGATGCAAGTCTGCGGTGGTACAAAGACTTAGAGCCCGAAGTTGCCGGAGAATTGGTGAACGTGCCCTTAAAAGCTAGCCAAGCAGGGATGGAGGGTATTGACAGGCTGGCAAGCGCCTTGCATCCTTCTTCCTTCACACTAGCAGCCGTGTCCAAAGAGGCACACACCATCGTTGGGTATGTGTACGCCACCTTTGATTCTGAACACAACAACCTAACAGTAAATGCTTGTAAGGTTGCCCGTGCGCACCAGGGAAAAGGTTGGGGAGGACTGCTGTTGGAGGCGGCGGAAGCCAACGTCGGGATCGACAAAGGCATCACAGGCTTCACAGTAAAACTTTCCGTCTTGGAAACAAGAACGGCGGCGAGGAAATGCTATGAACAGGCTGGTTTCAAGGGGTATGGCCGAAGGGATTCCGCATTTCCGCCGACTATGTGCGCGCAGTAAATCCAATGGCTGCGCATGTCAAGGACAGTTGCAGGTTTCAGTGTTTCACATGATTGGAGTAGCGATGATTGAAAACAAGCGTGTAACGAGCGCGTCCTCAAATCCTTGTGCGGATACTAAAAGGGTCTAGAGTCCAGTCTAGACCATAAACTTGAGTTTAGAATGAAACCCTCAGCAACTTTGTGAATTTCACAGATTCAAAGTTCTCTATATGCCAAATCCAGATGTGGTCCAAGTCGCGAGCACCTGAGTGATGTTGGGTTTTTTTTTGCGGAAACGCCCAACGTCAATAGCCGTGAGCACTGCGACCCCAGAAGCCCTTAGTCACCCAGCAGACCACACAGTGTAACACGAAAACAGCCCCACGATGCAAGCCATGAGCCGAAATCCAGATTAATCGTAGATATATGTCACGCATTCCCAAATTATGGATCGTCTCTTATTGGTCAAAGCTAGAGCTTTGGGTTCAGGAGGTTTCTCCGAGCGCAGCTATTTTGTGGCAAAGCCGCAATCGGTTGATCGGAAAGAATTTGTTAGGTTTACGAGCAACATAGAAAATCCTAAGTCCCACAGCTGGCAAGCAGTCTTGATGTGTTGGGGCTGGGTATTTAGTTTCAGAAAGTTCTGAGGCCCTGAAGTGAAGGTTTCCATTGTATGCGTGAGGCGTCTTCAGTGGCAAGTCACAGCAGCCCCGGCTGTCCATACGGACATTGGAGCGCTGGAGGACGGGCGGAGGGGTTACTGACCTCCACCTAGACACCTTTAAGACCGACCGCTGACTGTGTTTGAGGAGCCTGAATGAAGCCACCTTTGGAGATATGCCGGGAGGAGGAGAGCTGGAAAGATGGAGGCGCCAATCTGTCTGGGCTCGTGAGCGGTGTTTTTTTTTCCATATTGGTCTGATCGAGCGGCTTATTGCATGGTCCAATGGTGTGTGCCCCAACGTGGTTCTGGTTGTTGTTAGTTATTGTTTGTAGTTTGTCGTCTGTTGTTTGGTGTTTGGGGTGGGGTGGGGTGGGGGCTCACAGGCGGTTGGATGTGTGGGGAGGGGATTGAGAGGTTTTCAATCAGAAACGGGAACCTCTGAGCGCTTCGGCACAGAGGTAGTCACGGGTCTACACTACCAACAGTTAGCAGGAAAACTTGGATTGGAGAGTGGCGCGCTTTCCGAAACATCGCAAGATGTGTGCTTGGGAAATGGAGTCTGAGCTCCCCGCAACAGGACCTCTGGGAGACTGGCCTGCCACGTGCATTGAGCCTTCGTATGTTCCTGTAACTGCTATCAGCTATCATCTTCATGCTTTCAGAGGCGCTCGTCGTTGTCGTGGTCGTTGTCGTCGTGTTGTTGTGGTTGTCAGTGGCTGTCGTGCCGCGCATGGGTGAGGCAACAGGAATCGGCGGCCAGGGCAGCTGCTCCGGGCCAAGTGTGCAGTCGTTCAAGAAAGAGCTTGATTGTTTGGTTCGGTTCAGCAGTTTTCAGCATGGACATATTGATGAGGCTGGCAGGAAGGGTTTTGAGGTTCTATCTAGTGCACAAGCATGTTGGAAGAAAGATGATGTGGGCGACATAGCAACTGCATGTTCCTCTTTCAGGGCATCATGAACTGCTCAGCTCAAGCGGAGTTCTTGTATGGAGAAGTGCCAAGGACGACCGGATTCGATCCAGCTGCTCTGCCTCCCTCCATGCGTCCAACAAGCTCAGTCCTTGGGCCTCTGTCACTTCAAGAGTGAGACAAGCTCGGTGTGCTTCTTCAACCGTCGGCCGTTATCGTTATCTTGATGCCTTGCGGACCTGTAGTTTCCTCAAAGGTTCTCGGACATGGCGATTCCGGCGGCCGTGCAGGCGACTTCGTCGGACCCGCTGGTTCAAAAGCACACGGTGATCTTCAGAGTTGTAGGTGGAGCCCTCTCAGTGTGCTGTTGTCATCTCTTCACAACATCGGTATACATGTTTCCACGATCAAAGACTTGACAAACCTTGTTCATGTTCACACGGGTCAGCAAGCTTCATCTTGGTCTTGACTATGACTACCCCTTCCTCTGTTTGCTTGTTCGAAACTTTGAACTGAGGTTAGTTAGTCATGCAAGTATGCCGTGGAACGGGTTATGTAGTTCGTCACGGCCTTCCTCCGGAACCCAGCTTGAAGGAAGGTGGGCATAGCTTGTGAGCGCCGCTATCACAAGTGAGGTTGTAATTAAGAGTAATCAGTAATTACTCACAATAACTAATAACAGTTATGTACAACTAATACTACCTAATAATCATGAGTAGTAATTAGGAATAGCGAAGAATGATTAGTACTAGTTCACAACACGTCGCCAGAAGTCATAGCAGCTGGGCAGATGTCTTCTCTTGAACTCCCGGCTTCTCGCAGGACTTCGGCTCTGGGCAGCGCTTCGACGCAGCTCCTGCAAAGCTGGGAGACAAGCCGCGAGCTCGGCTACTAAACCCTAAACCCCAGGAGTCGGTGAGAGCCAGGTCAGCTGAAGTTCTGTGGCGGTGTGTTGCTTGGGGCTCCCTGTGAGCTAAAGGCCTGAGGTTGATGTCGTCGCTGTGACTGTAGCTTGCCACATTTTCCTCGGTGCTGTTGTCTGCTGCTGCTGTACGGCGGGGCCGCAGGAGCCTGTTTTGCATGGCTCGCAGGTGCCATGTCCTTCCTGAACTTTCTGTGGACGGGACAGCCAGAGTACTTACGTAGCATAGGTGGTGACAGGTGGTGATAGGATCCCAAGGCCTCCGCCCTGCCAGGCATTCGACGAAAAAGGGTGGCAAAGCAAAAAAAAGACTCCAAACCCCAAACCATGAACCCTGAATCCTAATTCGTGGGTGGATGTCGAATAGCAAACATGTAGTCAGCAATTGCTGAGTGATTTTCGAGAAGAGTTTTGGTAAACGGCATTGCAGGGCTTCCAACTGTACCGCGGTGCCAGGCACATTGCGGTCTAAAGATCTACTTGCACGATGGCAAATATATTTCTGGCAGACCACAGAAGCACGTTTTCTAAAAGCTCAAGCAGAGGCGGGTCTTGGTCCTTGTGCACTGAGGTACCGGAGCTTCTCAATGCCGATCCGCGATCCGCGAAGGCTTTCGTTCTGGGCAGTGCTGTCTTTCACGCAGAACTGAAGTAGTGCTTTTCGTGAAGGTTTGACTTCATAGCAGAGCGCTTTCAAGCGGAAGCGGCATGAGGACGACACAGTCTCACTTCTAGATTGTTTGTTAATTGCGTAGGCCGCAGCGAGCAGATGGCGCGCAACTCCTGCTTTATGCCGGACTAGCGAGCAACTGCTAAGATCGTAGATCGTATTGGGATGCAGCCATTGAAAATGGTTGCATTGCACGAAAAACATGCGAAAGGACAGCAGTCATCAAAAGAGCAAACCTTGCACACATCCGCTGTGGCCACACGAAGTCAAGTACGTCGTCGTCCATTCCTGTATTGTGGCGGAATGCCCAAGTACTGCCCGCCCGAGACTTTTCCGCCTTGGCTTGCCCGAGTCTTCTCTTCCAGAAGGATGGCTGCATGCTTTTGCTTCAGTGCGGATCGATGCTCCACAGTTCGTGCTGCCTGGGTTCTGCGCTGCTCTCGCCTCGCTGGACGCTTCCGCATGGAGGCGTGGAGCATTCCAGGCATCCAGGCAATTAGTCTTGTGTCCCACGAACGGTGGCGACGGAAGTGACGAGAACGTGCTTTCATCTTCAACGCATAGCTTCCGAGTAGCTTGTCTGAGTGCAACTGTGAAGTCCGGGGCTGCTCCATTCTCCCTTGGTCCCCCGGCGTAGCCCGCATCCCTGCCGCTTAATTCGTTCAACGAAGTTTTGAATGTCCACGTACATGCGTTGCCTGCGCGCGCGCGCGCGCCTACCCGCCAACTGAGGAAACGAGAGCCCGCCATGCCGCCGCTCTTGTTAAGCTTGGCGAGCACGGTCGTCGCGGAGCCACTCGCAGATTCTGAGCCGAAACTCGGAATCCCGCCCGGCGCATACCGGTAAATCCAGATCTGCCGCCCAGTAACGAGGTCCTCCACCACCAGCCTGACGACTCCTGCGAGTTTTCTCGCCGCCGTGCACGCTGGGGATGGAATCCGGCTTCATCCGGCATAGCAAAGGAGCATTTTTCCGCATCGGATCGTCTTCGACGATGAGATAGAAAACCTCCGAGTCAGGCCGACTGAACGTGTACGCAGCCTCGCCCAGCGCCCCCGGCTCCAAGAAGCTGCCGCCCACACTCGTTGGGAACGTTGAACGCCTCGGTGCATGCCGTCGGCCGACGCATCTGCAGACCGCGGATGCCGGCAGACTTCGTGGATGTGGGCGCCTTCGACCAAGTCGCAGAGTCGTTGCAGGCTGTGCGCCACCGACGTGCAGCCGATCCCATACACGTAGCAGGGACCGTCACATTCGTGCTGTCCAACCGTGTGAGCGAGGCGAACAGGTCGACTCTGATGCTTCCTGATGCCTGCCATGTGCAGCCTCGCCCAGCACGCCGCCGTGCAACAGATTCATGCCGCGCTTCTCCCTGGCGAAGCCGTGCGCTTTCATCCTTGACGACACACATGCTGCTGGTCCGTCCGTCAATACGCCTCGTATCGCCTCGTGTAAAAACATATGGGCAAGCACAACGGCGCGAAGCTTCGCCGCACATCTTAAAGTGGCTGCCACGTGATGGTCACCGCGCCTATATATCGACCCCGCCACACGCCTCGCCTGTGGAGGAGGGCAGGCAAGATGGATCGAAAGCTCGGATTCGCAAGGTGATTGCAGCGGCATTTCATCCTCCACAATGACACCGGAGGCTGTGCCATTCCACGCCACTACGCCAGCTGCCGGAGGCGTGGGACCGCAACCTTCTGCACACGTATGCATAATCAGTAATCTTTTTAAAGCATGCCCGACGCAACCAATGAGCACCTCCGCATCCTTTTGGACGATGAGGATGCGCGCTTGCTGTATGGGGCCGCATGGCGCCGCCAGTCGGCTTGCCAACGCCACCGTCCCTCCCGTCGTACTTGAGGGTATCCGGGTCGGACGCCTTGTCGCTCTGCGCAAGCTTAACGGCCGCGTGCGGACACTTGTAGTCGGCGACGTGCTGCGGCGACTTGTTGGACGGGTGTTGGCGCAGCACTTCGCGCCGCACCCTCACGCAGCCTGTATGCCTTTTCCTGTACCGTCGATGCCGTCGGTGCCTTGTGGTAACGCAAGGCCAGGGCGGGAGCAAGGGCACCCGCTGATCTGTATTTCCTGGCCCAATATGACGCCTGAGCGACCTGAAGCCAGTTCCGCGACGGGAAAACTGTTTTCGCTTTGTTCGAGGACGTTTATGTCGTCGCCCTATCAGTTCGCATCCGCGAACTCTACGACCTGCTCGCTGCAGCGCTTTGACCGTGCGCGCGAATTCGCCCCGACGGGAGCATTTGGAATGCCGCTGCCGAAGAGTCGCCAAACATTGCTGACCTTGCCGCTGGTAGCAGTGAACCAACTTGGGTCGGCGACTTGGTGCTGCCAGACGACCAGGGACTCACGTGCGGAAGAGCTTGATGATCTGCAAGCCGCCTGGCTCCTCCTCGAAGAAGTTGTGCCGCCCCGCGCGCAAACTATTTGCTGCGCATCTTGTCGCCGCACGCCACCGCTGACTATGCCGCTGCGCATCCCCTGCCAGCCAGCAGTGCCGCGCATTGGTCCCCGTGGCAAGACACGCTGCCAGTTGTCCGGGCGTGAGCACCTGCAGCCGCGGCACGACTCTTCCAAGCTTTGCGAGGTGAAACCGCCCTCCTTTCCATTGCCGCCGCAGTCGCGGCTTAAGCGCGACTGCGCCAGGCCGGCTACGACGCCCCCGACAGGCGCGGGCCTGCTCGCGCCCGATGCCCGACGCCTTGATGGGGACTCCGGCCCCTGGCCGTTCAGAGGCCGGCAGCGATTCGCAACCCGAGCCTGCGATGAACACACGTTCGAGACGCACATTTTTGAACTCCTGTGCG